GTTTTCCCGAGTTTTTTTTTTTTTTTAGGGGGGCGGGGGAAATTCCCCTTTTCCCCCACACCACAAATCCTCCAAAATAACAATCCATTAACTTGAATTAATTTCAGGCCGGTGGAGAGCATAAAGCAAACTCTTCGGTGGGGAAGGGGAGCTCCCCCACACCAGCTCACGAGCAGCTGCACGTTTTAAATCCCTGACTGAGGCTGTGCAGGGAGGTGGAGTGCGCAGGGACTGGAGGTGGGAGCAGTTGTGATCAAAATTAAAAGTTGGGGCATCCTTTGCATCTCCTGTTTTCTCAGGGTGTAACTCCGGTCAGGTTGTCTCCCCGTGCCCTGCGTGGGATTGTGTTCCTGTATCCCACTTCACCCGCTCTGGCCCAGAGAGCTGCGACCAGAGCGCGAAGTGGGATGTAGTTTCTAGATTTCTTTCAACATGGATGGTGTGTTATGGCTTTTTTTTTTTTTTTTTTTTTTTTTTTTCTTGTTATGGAAAATCCTGAAAAGTTGAATCGTCCCCCACATTGGGAGCTGTTAGCGATGAGGAGCCACTAGCTGAGGTTGGAGCCGAGCGGAGTATGAGATTAGCTGTGGCATGGAGCTGTGCTGGGACCATGTGACTGCGGTGTACATTGGAAGAGGAAGCTGCAGAGGTCAATGCAAAGGCATTGTGCCAGACTCTGGCAACGAGGGAGGTTGCTATATGGCGGAAGATCACTTTTTCAGGCTCCTGAGCCTTTTGGTAGCTGGTGGGGTTGGACAAAAGCAGCCCTGTAGGATTAACAGCAGAAATGAAATGGTATGGCTTGTTTGTGGATGGCAAGAAAAACTGGGTTTTTTTTCCAGATGCTTTGTAGCTTTTTATTAATTACCAGATGCGTCTCTTTTGCTAAAACCACCTTTACTGGAATGGAAACTGTTGTGTTTAGAGGAGTTTCAAGAAAACAGAGGGAAAACAGGGAAAAACAAGGAAAGAAGGAGTTGCGTGCTCACAGTTATATCTGCCTTGGTGTTTTCTCACAAAACTACATTTGAAGCACTTTGGTTTGACAGAGAGTTCAATCCTGTTATTTCCTCTCTGAACGTAAACAGATCGTCAGCTTCAAGTTTAGATTATTAACTGCTGAGGAATAAATAAATAAAACCTGCTAATGCTTAGGCCATTTCTGGTCTTTCAGAATATCTTAATATGAACGGGTAATTGTTGGTAGGTAGCACTGTCTTAGAAAATTTTTCTTAGTGTGATGTGTTTTACATCTGACCTTTTGGAAACCGAAAATAATTGATTCCGTAAGGATTTGAATTTTTTACTTTAAAACAACATGAACGTCTAATACTCAACACTGCCCACAAAGTGAGAATTTCCATGTTGGTTTTTTTGTTTGTTTTTTGAGCAATTATTCGATCTGTGACTTTTTGCAGTTTGGCTGGAAGAAAGGCAACTTCCTTTCTGGGCTTCTTTTATTGTTTTTAAATTCTATCTGACTTGTAATCAACAACATCTTGGTAGAGAAAACATAAAAGGAGAAATTAAAAAAAATGTATTTGGGAGGGAAGGACTCATATTTTGAAATGGAGCATATTGAGAGTCTAGACAGCTTCTTGGCTAGCTGTGATTTTTGAAGCATCTGAAATACCCCAGGGGCAGAAAAAGCTCTCTTCCTGCTTCTAAAGGATTAAAAAAAAAAAAAAAAAAAAAAAAACTGGAGTGGGCAAGAGGAGAGATGTGTAATTGCGCAAGGAGAGGTTTTAATTGTGAGATGAAGGCGCAGGACCTTTTTTGAAGCCCACAAATTGACTGTCTTCATGACAGCATTGCGTATCATTCTGTCAACTCCGGCTCGGGATGTGGTTGCTAGGCAGCGGGCTCTTATGTACCTATAGTCTCTCTGATTTGCCAGCCTTCTGCAGACACATGGTAAGGTCCTTTCCAGCCTATCATCTAGAGGGACTTTTGCACGCCGTCTGCATACTGCTGAGATTCTCCCTACCTGAATGTGATGAGAAAAAGACACAGTTAAATGAAACCTTTTTTCTTTTTTTTTACAAATCCCGTTCTGGTACTGTTTCCATAACACAGCCATGAAACGGAGACCGGAACAAGGAAAAGAGGTTAGTGGGTTAAGTGGTGTGTGTTTCCTGCGTTTGCGAAGGTGCCTGTAGTGAGAAGGGCGGCTGTAGTTCGGCCATTAGTTACAGATGGTGGCTGGAGGCTGAAGATTCATGCAGCGAGATGAGAGCGCTTGGATCTCTTTCCAGCGATGCTGACTTTAAACTGCTTTGAAAACCTGAATCGAGACGGCATAAAAATTGGTGGATTTGATGCTTAGTGATGCTGCCAGCTGGTTCCTTTATGTATTTTGATGCAGAAATGCTTAGAAATGTGAACAAAAAGGAGTTAATTTGCCAAATGAGGTTTCTGTTCCCCAGTCCTTGCAAAAATGGCATTAGTGGCAAGTAGGTAAAGAACGTTCAGGAGGATTTGTAAGCAAATTACATTTTCCAAAACTTTGCTCTTTGAAGCAATTTGTGTACAACTTCTGGTGAAGGTTGTGTCTCTCAGGCGGTGGAGGAGAGCAGAAACAGATCACCCTGGGGATTGGCAGTGGCATAAGAAATATTTCCGAACAGCGTAACTTTTAATGTTTTTCCATTCCTGAGCTCTGAAAGCTTTCGTTCCAGTTGTATGAATAGGAAACTCAAACGTGGAGATACGTATTTTTCAGCAGAAACCTGGTTATAGTTACTTCATGAGACAAAAATCCCAGTACTATAAATGCAGAAGCTTAATCGGTGGAAACAGTATCGCACGTGCAGTTAACCTCTGCAAATTAAGATGTAAAAAATACCATTTCAGACGGATTCATTTTTGTCCTTCACTCTGCTTACAGGTACTGTTTGATGAGCGTGAAAGGATGCTTCACTGATTTTCATATTGATTTTGGTGGCACTTCAGTGTGGTATCACGTTTTCCGTGGGGGGAAGGTAGGTGAACCTTGTTTGATATTTGCTTTTATTTCTCTGTGCCTCTTCTGGAGGGGAGGGATTGTTTGCTTTTATTTTTGTTTTTCTGGTTTTTTTTGGGGGGGTAGTCAGTGATCAGTCTATTGCAGCTGGCTTTGTTGATGTACGTGGGGTTTGCTGAACTAGAAGGACACCATTTGCCTTTATGAAGCAAATGAGTGATGCTTTTGAAATATCAAACGTGTTATTTGCTGTTGGTAATGCTTTTAGTCTTGCTATCGCTGCATGGTTTAGGAGTGTCTTGCAGTGAGTCTGTGGCTGTGTGCACCCTTGTTGGGTCAGAGTGCCCTCACAAGTCTCCTCCTGTAGCTAGAGCTTCTGTTTCCTTTTAGAGATTCTATGTTCCTTTAGTGTGCACATGCACACTGTGCCAGAACTAAAATATTACAGGATACAGAAGCCTTAAAATTTACAGCATGTATGGCTACCTTCACATCTTTACTGTTTTAGGTTGCTTTTCCCAATTCTAGCATAGTACAGCAGGTTGAGCATCTCTGTGGTACGGATACTGTTCATCGATGTAGTCCCATGAAGTTGTACTGTGCCAACGCACTGTTTTGAACTGAAAGTAAACTGTACAGGCATCTTTGGAATAAGATGTTTCATGGAAGGGAGATGACAACTGACAGTTGTGTTGCCACTTCTAGCGCACGGACTAATTGCTGCTGCTGTCTGCTGTATACGACACCTGGGAAACACGTGTCTTAATGTAGAAAGCAGGCTTGTGTACACGTTCGTCTGTCTAACGCATGATAACCTTGTTGGAATTTCTCAGCTATTTATGTCTGTTGACTGTGGGTAATAGTTAAATCTTTATTTTATTTTTAGATCTTCTGGCTGATTCCGCCTACTCTGCAGAATCTAGAACTTTATGAAGAATGGGTTCTCTCAGGAAAGCAAAGTGATATCTTTCTGGGAGACAGGGTGGAACGATGCCAAAGAATTGAGCTGAAACAAGGCTATACGTTCTTCATTCCTTCAGGTATTGCTTATTAACTAATGGCTTTTGGAATCACTGGAATTGTGCTTGACTAACAGTTCTCTGTAGAACAGCCCTTCACATCTAAACCCAGTATTGACTTCTTTGTTTGTTGTGGCAAAAGAAAGACTAGGGACTGAATGCACTCAGTTTTCCAGAAATTGACCCATCCAGACTGGTGAAAAATGTGCTGTGAGGAAGAGTGTGCAGTGATCCTTGTGCTGTACTGGTGAAAAGGAGAGAGGACTTGGGTCTCTGGGGCTGCCAGTCCACCACTTCTTGTCAGAGTCATGCTGGCTCTTGCTGTTGTTAGCTTTCTTGGAAAAATATTTTTCTGGTTTTGTGATACCTCCTAGCAGGTTTCACCTGCAGTTCAGTAACCTACTTGTTTGCCTCTGTCTGTAGCCAGAGCTGGGTCTCCGTTCCCTGGTGGATCTCAGTGGAGATTCCAGTAAATGGAAGAGCAGGTGCTGTGCTGTCTCAGGGTTGCTTCTTGGAGAAATAACCTTATTTTATTGTCATAACTCTTCAGAGCTTCTGCTGATGGAGATTGTGCTGAATCTGGACGTATTCCGGTAGCCAAGCCACACTTAATTTTTACCCTACTGCCCACCTCAGTAGCTGCGTTGCATGATTCGGGCTTTTCTTGCAAAGGAACCGGATAGTTCCTGTTTTGAAGGCTGGTGGCTTCAGCGCTTTCTGCTCCTGCCTAAATTTGATTAAGAATGGTACAATCTGTAATGCTTCTCATTGAAGATGGTATCAGGCTTTGCTCCCTTTGACTATTATGGGACCAGAAGATTGTTTATAATGATATAATGCATTGCCTCTGTCTAGTGGATCTTACCAGGGAAATAAATATTGGTAGCCTTTCTACATAACAGAAAGATAGGCTGGTAGTTCTTCAGCTCTAGAATTACTCTGTGAAGGTTAGGATGATTATATTTTTAATCCTGGAGACAGAGAGAATGCAGGTGTAATAAGAAGACAGCGACAGTGTTCTTGCTGACTAGGGAGCATTGTCAGTATCAGTGGGAGGCCACAAATTTAAACATTTGGTAAGTATTGGTAAGAATGAGCCTGGGAGGTGACAGGCAAAATGGCTTTGAGGGTGGAGTAGTTAATCCATTAAAGGAATTAGGTCTTCCCTTGAAACAGGTCAGAATGTGCTGTTACTGTTTGAACTACGTGTTTGAGAGTGCCTGTGCTGTTTGCTTAGATCCCGTTACTGCATCTTCATATTTATCTTCATTCCCCTGTGAACGGCCTCCTACGAATAAGCCTTTCTGTACGTTAGTTTAGTCATGCTCAGCAGCTGGAATACAGCAAGTTGTGGGAGCTTGTACAGGACACAACTGTAACATGGTGGCTGAAGTGAAGGGATTCCAAATGTGTTTTTTGAGTGTAGTTTCTGTTTTCTTAGGAAAGCCCAAAATACAGAAATACAAATACCTCAGACGTTTTAGGCTCCATGCCATATTTGAAAGGCATATATGTATAGTTTCTCTGTAAACACCTCATGGATTCAAGGATTTTTACTCTGCTGTATTTTGTTTGGAAAACTTACCTGCACATCTCTTATTTATGTGAAAGGGCATTATTTCTGTTTGTTTTAAGAGTATGGAAATGCCTAATTAAAGGCTGTTCCAGGTCAGCGAGTTGAGCATAGCTGTGTAAAACAGGTCAGTTCCTACGACCTCTTTGCTCTGGTTTGTGCATGTATCACATTAGTTAGTGTTTGGATGTGTTTTGTATGTACTTAATAACTGTTTGTAGTGCTTGGGTTCTGATAACGGGTGCCTGTACAATCCGTGTGTCCTGTACTTTCAGTTGAGCCTGACAAACTCTTGACCAGCCTCGGCTCATCCACGAGGAAAATGCCTGCTAATTACAGGTCTGGTCACAGAAAGTGTAGGGTGACCTAGCTGGTGCTCAGCTGGGCTGTGAGTGGGGAACATTTCAGCGAAGGACCTTTTCCATCAAATATCCTGCTCTGCTCCTGTTTTCAAGTCGGTTTTGGGGGTGGTCCTAGAAATACTATTACACCATAGCAGTGTGAGAATGAAGTAGGTAGAGAAGACTGTAACAAGACACGTGAGGGAGTGAGATCGTAGGACTGGGAGAGGTAAAAGGTTTCTCTGAGAATCTAGGATCAGCAGTAGATCCAGTAAATCCTTGAAACTACAAACCACTTGGACAAGAATGGGAATTATTCTTACAGAAGGCATAATTATAGTGTTCACCAGGGCCTCAGGGTATTTTTCCTCTCCGTCGCTGCCGTCATACTTTCAGGATTAAGTTTAAACCAGTTCATTTCTACCTGTGCTTCTGACCCTATAAAGCACAGAGAGGCACGATCACAGCTGTGGTATCAAGGAGAAATTGAGTGAGTAGTGAGTCATTCTGGGCCAAGGTGCATCTTGCAGCATTTTAGGAGTCACTCCTAGGTATGGGGTGGGGAGAAGTAAGCTGGGATTCTGAGGGATACTGTGTCTGGGGCCTTGTGTAGGAGCCAAGCTGTAGTCCTGATGGCCCCCCTTTTCCAAACAAGCTTTGCACCGTTATATGTTCTCACCTCCCACTTTACCGGTTCCCACTGATGAGTCAAGGATGATTGACTCTCGTAAGTCTGCGGTAAAGTGATAAAATCAACTAGGAACCTGGCCTTTTCAATTAATATAATTGTCTATACTGATGCCAGCATGATTGTTCATTGAGAAATCCGCCACATTGTGCCATGCTGAGGTTTATGGCCAGGTCTGGATTCAAGATGTTAAAACAGCTGAAGGTTCAAGAGAGGAGGAAGCTGTAGTTGCTACCAGTGTCAGCAAATGGTGATGGTTTTGTACAGAAATCTGACTGTTGTTTTCCCAGGGTAGGAGAGAGCTTGTCCTTACGCAGGATGACATTAGTAAAGAATACTACGGCCCTAGGGTGTTTGCACTGTGTATGTTACCATGAACAGCGTTTAATCTTTCATGTGTCAAGGTAACATGTATTGCTCTGGTATAGTGGACAGTGGATGCTGCGTATCTGACCCACATGCCAAAGAGAAGGGAAATTCTTTACAGAGCGTGCTTCTCTCTTCAGTATAAACTGTGATGATCTGGAAGAGTAAAAGCGTCATCTCAGTGCTCAGTTATTGTCTCAGTAGGGAAACAACAATATTTGATCAGTCACAATCAAATCTGGAGCTTGTCCAGTATTATTTGCACTGTAGCTTTCTTCTGTATGGTGTTTGTGCCCAGCGATGACTTGCGGGGAGGATGTGTGAAGTGTTGAGAGTCCATTGTGGTGGTGTCACGAGGAAGTGGTTTAGATACCTCTCGTCACTGTGCTAGAGACACACAGGACCGGTGTTTGGGCAGCATCCCTCAGATTTCTGCAACTCAGGATTACTGTGGGCACATGTTTCTGGCTTTTATGCAGCTGCTTGTTCTGTTACATCCTGACTGCTCCCCTACAGCCGGTTTGAAATACTGCTCGCTAAGTTAACGCCAATGTGTTACCTAGGTTTTTAATATCTTTAGTGCTTCTCCTTGCACTTTAAGTATTTTTCTCCTTTTACATCACTGCATAACTTCACTGGAAGCTTTTCCCTCTCCTCCTCATGCCCTTCAGCTGCCACTCCAGTCTTTATGCTCTGTAAACCATCTTCTATCCTTGCACTTGTTTTTTCAAGTGGCATATTATGCATCGAATTCCCTTCTGTCTCAGTTCTCTGAACACCACATCAGTTTCTCTTGTGTACTTCTAAACATCACTTTTTTTACCTAAACCCAAGCTCAAAACTAAGCATACACTAAATGAAAAATTCATCCTTTTTCAATCCACTTGCTCTTTTGAGTCTTTTGCTGAGTATGTTGTTTTGACTGTAAGTGATGGAGCTCTGACATGGATATCGTCCTTCTCCTTCCTTGTTGTCCTCTACAAACAAAATCTTGCAGTAGTTTGAAGTATGTTAAGCTTGTTTGGTTTTTTCCTCACTTTCCTGCCAGACTTTTCATTAAAAAACTGGACCGTTTCTTCCCTGCACGTGTATGTATGCTTGGTGTGGACACTTGAAATTGAAGAGAGTTTGCATGTGCAAAACTGAGACATACAAAAGCAGGCCAACTGATAGCCTCTCATGGAAAATTTGTCTTGCAGTATTTGTCTCTACTGTTTGTATTGTGAGGTAAGAGTGTAATCATTGTGTCTTGAAAAGGTGAACTCCAGCCAGCTCTGGATTGTTGCTGATAATGTAGTCTGCCACAATATGGATAAACTGGGGTTTTCTTCTCTTTTTGTGAAGAGCAGTTCTGCTGAGCTCCAAGGAAGTTGCCACACTTCCTGTGGATACAGTTTGAGTCCAGGGTTTACAGTGTGATTGGTCTAAGAAAGTTCGCAAACACACTGGTTTTGGTTCCTTTGGGAGAAGGTGGCTGGTACTACCAAGGGATACTCTAATCATCCTCCGTTTCTTACAGTCTTTTTCTCAGCCCCTGCTGCTGCTGAGAGGCAGTAGACTCCTGAGCAGGTATGCTTTTGGGTTGAATCTGCATGGGTCTTCTTACTGTGGGCTTTCCAAATATGTCGCTTTAGTGTGAGTACATTGAAAAGATGAGATGCTGCAGTGTGGGTGAACTGGTAGTTTAGAGAGCAATGTTAGTGGGGGAGCACAAATCCTCAAGTAGCTGGGCCATTTTGAGTGACTTTTCTCTGTTCTTTAAATCTGACAGTAATGGTCCCAGTAGTAAACCACTGCAAGGTCTATAAAATAATGGTCCAAGAAGTCACTGTGCTTTTTTTTTATTTCTGAAAATGGAATAATGGACTGTCATTTGATATTGTAGAAGACTGTTGCAATGCTGATTTATTAGACATTCCCGTGATCAAAATCTGGACAGGGTGACTTGCTGTCAACTGGAGATGGTGTTCCTTTCTGGTTCCTCTTCAGACTTCTCACTAGTGTTGCTGCATGCTGTTTTGTCACAGTTGTGTTTCGCCTTGGAGTTGGCAGT